AGCAAGTCATAGTAGAGGTGACTTGTTTTGTATGACTCTTCCAATGAGTCATTTTTGAATCCTTGACTAGTCGTCTAGAAGTTCTTTTATAATAGTTTAGACTCTTATATAAATAATTTATTTACTAAATTTATATATATTATGTATATTCTATATATTTTATTTTATGCATGTTTAACTTGCTTTAATATCAATTTTCAATAATAAATATAGTAATATGTGGAATCGTAACAAAATTTGTCAAGCAAATTTATTGAAATCAAAGTATTTAACTAGTTTAATTGTAAATATTTTTACATAAATAGATGTTTATATGCCTGTTTATTTGGGAGGACAAAATATATTTTCAAACAACAATAATTTATATTTTAATTAATTTTAAATTATAATTTTTAAAGAAAAAATTTTATAAAAGATAAAAGTAATAGTTTAAGTGGTGTATAATTCACATAAATAGACTAAATTTAAAATACAAACTTATTAAAATAATTGAAATAGGCTATAAATGAGGAATTTTATTAAAAACTATAATAAAATAGAAGAAAAAAAGGGCTTCGAGGCAGCAGTGAAACTGTGAAAAGCAAAAGAAAAACGAAACAAAAAAAAAGTTATTGTCGGTTTCAGGAATTGTACGTGGTATTGCCGTTTTGTTGAAAGTATCCAAGTCCGTGGCTCTGAGTGTGAATTCTGAAATATAAACGTCAGAGATCAACACTCACTCACGCATCACTCATATTCACTTCCAACACTCTCTTCTCTCCTCTCTGCCAAACACTACACTCAAATATTCTTACTTCTTTCATCTGATTCATGCTTTCCTTGATTTAGAAAAAAAATAAAAAATTCATTATATGGCTTTTAAAATAATTCACCTTTATAAATCAAACACACGATTAATTTGTACGGAAAAATTTTAAAATTTCTTTTTATTCAGAGTATTTTTAAACCTTTTTTTTTTCATAATAATATTTTTTGATTTTTTTGATTTCCCTTCTATTTCAACTTTTATTTATAATATTTATTTATAAATTAAATTAATAGATTACCAATAATTAAAAATAATAATGTTTCACTATAAGAATTATTTATCATAAATTTAAAATATAATTTATATATTTAAAAATATTTATTTATATAAATATATTAGATATAATTTATATATTCAAATATAATATTTATTTGTATATTATAACATTTAGTTATTGTAATATACTTGACAAATATTAATTATTATTATTATAATAGAAGTCAATAAATTTATTTTATATAATAATTTAAAATTAAATAATAATTCAAGACTATTTTACATTGAAAGTAGATAGAAAATATTTATACTCTTTTATATAAGAAAGAATATTAAGATGGAACTCGTGTTTTTTTTTTCTCCTTCCTTTTATGTGTCTTTTTAAAGGGTGGAATAACATCGGGCACGCACTGGGAGATCTCGGCCTAAGCGAGATCCGCAATCTAATCAGATCATAACTGATCTCAGGCCCAAGGCCCAACACAACCCTAATTCACACAAATGTACGTGCATTATTTATACGAGACTCATACTCCCACAAAGACTAACTTTGGCATCAGAGTCTCTTTTGCAGGTACCACCCCCATCTTGGAGCAACCAACGTACCCGTGAAGGAGGCTCACCGATCTTACCAGGCGGATCAACTCTACAGCAGATTTCCGGTAAGAACATTTAAGGTCGAGTACGAACCTTGTTATGCCGAGGTCGAGTCCGAACCTTGAGATTACATTTTCTTAACCAAGGTCGAGTACGAACCTTGTTACGCCGAGGTCGACTCCGAACCTTGAGATTGCATTTTCTTAACCAAGGTCGAGTACGAACCTTGTTATGCTGAGGTCGAGTCCGAACCTCGAGATTGCATTTTCTTAACCAAGGTCGAGTACGAACCTTGTTATGCTGAGGTCGAGTCCGAACCTCGAGATTGCATTTTCTTAACCAAGGTCGAGTACGAACCTTGTTATGCCGAGGTCGAGTCCGAACCTCGAGATTGCATTTTCTTAACCAAGGTCGAGTACGAACCTTGTTATGCCGAGGTCGAGTCCGAACCTTGAGATTGCATTTTCTTAACCAAGGTCGAGTACGAACCTTGTTATGCCGAGGTCGAGTCCGAACCTTGAGATTACATTTTCTTAACCAAGGTCGAGTACGAATACCTTGTTATGCCCAGGTCGAGTCCGAACCTTGAGATCACATCTACTTAACAAGGTCGAATTTGAACCTTCAAACAACAAATTTGGGAACTCCTCAGAAGCCCCTTTACTCTGACATCACTCGGTGCTTGGGGGGCAAGTGAACTGGCCAGCCGAGTTATCGACTTGTCCTTCACCAAACTGCTGACTCGGTCAAAGGTTTACCAACCTAACCAAGCAGTAAGTTCATTATTGCCGAGCTCCTTAACTCGACCATGAAACATGGACATCGGAACACCACATCGGCCCAAAAAGGCCACGCCATCAAAACAAATAAAAATACAATCTTGTCGCCGCGCCGCCCACGCGTTATGGGAACGAGGTGACGGCTATGACACATGGCATCTCGACAGGCAGATGTACGCGAAGGGCCACAGCCACTTGACGAGCTCGGACTTAACTCCTCGACCTACGATCTTCGGAGCTCGGGGGGCTAATGTACTGTCCGTACTGCCATGCCGAGCTCGAGCTCGGTATCACAGCGTGGAATAACCTCGGGCACGCACTGGGAGATCTCGGCCTAAGCGAGATCCGCAATCTAATCAGATCATAACTGATCTCAGGCCCAAGGCCCAACATAACCCTAATTCACACAAAGGTACGTGCATTATTTATACGAGACTCATACTCCCATAAAGACTAACTTTGGCATCGGAGTCTCTTTTGCAGGTACCACCCCCATCTTGGAGCAACCAACGTACCCGTGAAGGAGGCTCACCGATCTTACCAGGCGGATCAGCTCTACAGCAGATATCCGGTAAGAACAATAATTTTATAATTTTATAATTTTTCTTTCCCTCATATTTTACGATAACGTTTTGTTGACTCTCAACATTCTTACGTGTATAAAATAATTTATTTTGATAAATTATTTTTTAATTAATTTATTTTAATAATTTTTATTTATTATGGCCAAAAGACCAAAAGTAATGTCATTAACAATAACAATATTAGAAATGCATTAATATAATATATACAATAAGTTGCAAGAAGAAACTACAAAACATATACTAGTATCTAACAGCTTCAAGAATATGCCTAGTTCATGGCCATATCACGGGGTAGACGATTAAATGTGGATTATAAAAATGTATAATTAAAATATGGAATGGACGAATTATTACACGACCTTGCTAGCTATTAACTTTTTCAGTTATTTTATATATAGTACGAAAGATTTTATAGGTGTTTATATATAGTTACGACTTTAACGTAATACCATTAATATGGGTTTTCATTTTGCTTTAAAAGAACATCTCCATAATCAGTTATTGGATGATGTTGTATTTGTTAGTACCTCTAAGTTCTTTACCAGAAACAGAAGTATTTTACGTGCTTCCTATATTAATGGACGTTGAAAAACTATAAACTAATTAACTAACAACATAATTCAACAGGAAGACATAAAAACAGTTCTCACACTTAAATAAGCACTCCACACGCATTGAAATATCTCGTAACATGTTTTAACATGCATTGAAAGCCATCACGAATATATAAAATTTCCCGTCCGATTCAAATATGTTAACTCCACACGAAAAGGTAATACCTAAATAGCTTAAAAATATAATGATACGATTCTCCAAGGAAGAAAATTTGGCTTCTAGTATCATCACAATACGTATGTTTTAACTAACACCAACTCCAATAACTCATTTTATTCTTATCTGTCCAAAACTACCTCGCAATGGTCGTTCGTTGTTACATTATTCATTTCACCAAGACCTACTTTATCCTGTGTATTGGTATCACCACATTTACTATTTTACACCTTTTTATGGAAATAATTTGTGCATATTAAGGTTGTATATAATTTGAATACGCGAAATCTTAGTTTGAAGAATGTGAATTAAATTTCATTCACAAATAAGATACTCGTTTGACAAATTCATGAGTACGTAATAAGTTTTCTTTTAACGTGATTTTACTAGATTTTGGAAATTAAAAAAAGTTTTACGAGACTAAACCATGGTTTACGGACTATAACCTAAATACATTGTTTTGTTTAGAGGCCTCTCTTGTAACCAAAACAAATACGTATAAAGCCTTATAACTTTTTTATTTTTATAAAATTAGTACGTATTCACTATATATAATTTATTCTAATTAGAAAACAGTTATATTTATTATTATCGCTTTCTCAATGAAAACTTAAAATATTAACTATTAGATCTCTTAAAATAAGTTGTCCCGATCCATTATACACCTAGTCTTCCTTTATATTCAACATCAATTCAAGGTGAGAAATATTCGAAGCAGAATGATCTCGTATGAGTCAAGCTCTAGCTTGGTATCCAGAGATTAAATCCTGAAAATAAAGAGTTGACAGTTGACACCGTCGAATGTCATGATCTCACTTTATTTTTTAAAGCCTGATCAACTTTAATATAAGAATATATTAGACTGATGTGCATCATTGAAGAGCTAGGATTTCATGTAACAGTAATGTCAGCGAAAGATAATTCATTGTTATGGCACTTGAGACATGCATGTTAAAGTTATTTATGCGTGATAGAAGCACCTTCAAGACAAAAGCCTTGATTGAATTAAGTGAATTATAGTGAGTGTAGCATTGTTTTTGTTTTGTTCCTCACATAAAGCTAAGTAGGGTTAAGCGAGAAAAACAAAAATGGTAAAATTGCAGACAAGTATTTTTGGTGTAGCGCGATTTTCAAAATATCTGGATATGTTTAAAGAGGGTAAACTGTAGTAGCAGCATTATGTTAAGAAATAAGAAGGAAAGGAGTGAGATTTGTGGTGAAGGGACATAATGAGAGAGAAAGCAATAAAAGGTGTCTGGTGGTGCCAACTCAGCTAGAGGTAGTGGCATGAGTCTGCGTGCCGAACTGCACTAAAACAGAAACAGAAACACAAAGACACTAGTGTCTAGTGCTACTACTACTTCACTTCACTAATAAATTGAGGAGGGTGTCCACTCCCACACTACTCAGCAAGAGAGGCAAGAATGACAAAGCCACTCTTCCTCCTTCTTCAAACTCTCCTAACCCTATCCCTCGCAACGTGGGTGGCGTCTCTCAACCAAGAAGGCCTCTACCTCTACCACATAAAACTCTCCCTCGACGACCCGGACTCCACCCTCTCCACGTGGAACCCACGTGACGCCACGCCCTGCGCCTGGTACGGCGTGACCTGCGACGCCACCAACACCACGGTAACCCAACTGGACCTCTCCAACACCAACGTCGGAGGGCCCTTCCCCGCCAACACCCTCTGCCGCCTCCCCAATCTGCTCTCCATCAACCTCTTCAACAACTCCATCAACGAGACGCTCCCGCACGACATCTCCCTCTGCCGCTCCCTCCTCCACCTCGACCTCTCGCAGAATCTCCTCACCGGCCCTCTTCCCTCTCGCAGAATCTCCTCACCGGCCCTCTCCCCACCACCCTCCCCCTCCTCCCCGCCCTCCGCTACCTCGACCTCACCGGCAACAACTTCTCCGGCCACATCCCCGACTCCTTCGGAACCTTCCAGAGCCTCCAGGTAATCTCCCTCGTTTCGAATCTTCTAGATGGGACCATCCCTGCCTCCCTCGGAAACCTCACCACTTTGAAAATGCTTAACCTCTCTTACAACCCCTTTTTCCCCGGTCGGATCCCGCCGGAGCTGGGGAACCTCACCAACCTCCAGGTGCTCTGGCTCACACAATGCAACCTCGTCGGCGTCATCCCTTCCTCCCTCGGGAACCTCGTTAACCTCCAGGACTTGGACCTCGCGCTCAACGACCTCTACGGTTCAATCCCCAGCGAGCTCGTTCGGTTAACCAGCTTGAAGCAGATCGAGTTGTACAATAACTCCCTCTCCGGGGAGCTTCCCAGGGGAATGGGGAACCTCACCAACTTGAGGCTTCTCGATGCTTCCATGAACCACTTGACGGGGAACATTCCTGAGGACCTTTGTTCCTTGCCGTTGGAGAGTCTCAATCTCTATGAGAATCGCTTCCAGGGGGAGCTACCTGCCGCCATTGCCAACTCGCCTAATCTTTATGAGTTGAGACTCTTCGGGAACCGTCTCACCGGGAAGTTACCGGCCAATCTCGGCAAAAACTCGCCGCTCCGGTGGCTCGATGTTTCCAGCAACCAGTTCTGGGGGCCTATTCCGGCGACGCTCTGTGATATGGGGGCGTTGGAGGAGCTTTTGATTATATACAATCTTTTCTCCGGGGAGATTCCGGCGAGTTTAGGCACGTGCCAGAGTTTGACACGTGTGAGACTCGGTTTCAACCGGTTGTCCGGCGAGGTTCCGGCCGGGATCTGGGGGCTTCCGCACGTGTATCTTCTTGAACTTGTTGATAACTCCTTCTCCGGTTCCATCGCCAGGACCATTGCCGGCGCGGGGAACTTGTCGTTGTTGATTCTCTCCAAGAACAACTTCACGGGCGCGATTCCCGATGAGGTTGGGTGGTTGGAGAATCTCGTGGAGTTTTCCGCGAGTGACAACAAGTTCAGTGGTTCGTTGCCTGAGACTATTGTGAATCTTGGCCAGCTTGGGATTCTTGATTTTCATAACAATAGACTCTCCGGGGAGCTTCCCAGGGGGATTCGTTCGTGGAAGAAGCTCAACGATTTGAATTTGGCTAACAATGAGATTGGTGGCAAGATTCCTGATGAAATTGCGGGTTTGTCCGTGCTTAATTTTCTAGATCTTTCTAGAAACCGCTTTTCAGGGAAAGTCCCCAACGGGTTGCAGAATCTCAAGCTGAATCAGCTGAATTTGTCTTACAATCGTTTGTCTGGTGAACTTCCTCCTATGTTGGCTAAGGATATCTATAGGTCTAGTTTCCTTGGTAATCCTGGCTTGTGTGGGGATTTGAAGGGTTTGTGTGATGGTAGGAGTCAGGAGAAGAGTGTGGGTTATGTTTGGTTGCTTCGAACTATTTTCGTTGTTGCCACTGTGGTTTTCTTTGTTGGTGTGGTTTGGTTTTACTTTAGGTATAGGAATTTCCAGGATGCCAAGAGGGCGATTGATAAATCCAAGTGGACGTTGATGTCGTTTCATAAACTGGGTTTTAGTGAAGATGAGATTTTGAACTGCCTTGACGAGGATAATGTGATTGGAAGCGGATCCTCAGGGAAGGTCTACAAGGTTGTGCTTAGCAGTGGGGAGGTTGTTGCTGTGAAGAAGATATGGGGTGGGGTTAAGAAGGAAGTAGAGAGTGGGGATGTTGAGAAGGGTAGGGTTCAGGACAATGCTTTTGATGCGGAGGTTGAAACTTTGGGCAAGATCAGGCACAAGAACATTGTCAAGCTCTGGTGTTGCTGCACCACCAGGGATTGCAAGCTCTTGGTTTATGAATATATGCCCAATGGTAGTCTTGGTGATTTGCTGCATAGCAGTAAGGGAGGGTTGTTGGATTGGCCAACAAGGTACAAGATAGCTGTGGATGCTGCAGATGGCCTCTCTTATCTGCATCATGACTGTGTTCCCCCAATTGTTCATAGAGATGTGAAATCTAACAACATCTTGTTGGACGGAGACTTTGGTGCGAGGGTGGCGGATTTTGGAGTAGCTAAGGCGGTCGAAACCACAGCCAAAGGGACTAAATCAATGTCCGTCATAGCTGGCTCTTGTGGCTATATTGCACCAGGTTAGCAGAAATTTTGATGTTATTTAATTTTCTCTTGTTGATCCTGTTTTGTTGAGGTTGAGATACATTAAGTGGTAGTAAGCAATACTTCTGCTGCATTTGTGCTTAACTCATAGTATATGGCTTGGCGCGGATCATAAGAGTAATTTGATTGTTGGTCCATTACTATTAATTACTACAAGTGTGTGCATCTTATCCTCCTTAGACCCTACAAATCACGATGGTAGTCTCGTGCATGGGCAACACTTTTAATGTTTTTGTTGGTTAGTGACAAGTGGTTTGTTTTTTGTTGGCAGTGTAGCTCATCTTTGTATTATTACTATAGCATGTGTAGTATAATACGGCTACCATTACCACATGGTCTTATGATTTTCTTTTGCAATCTAGCAGTCATACTCGTAGATTCATTATCAGGTGAAATGTTTAGTATTTCTGTTTCTTTGGAGCCAAGTTGACATGATCCGTTTTTCCTGCAGAATATGCATACACGCTTAGAGTGAATGAGAAGAGCGACATATACAGTTTCGGGGTTGTGATACTTGAGTTGGTTACTGGAAGACGCCCCGTGGACCCTGAATTTGGGGAGAAAGACTTGGTTAAGTGGGTGTGCACAACCTTGGACCAGAAAGGCGTGGACCATTTAATTGACTCGAGGCTTGATTCTTGTTTCAAAGAAGAAATTTGCAAGGTCTTCAACATTGGACTCATGTGCACTAGTCCTCTTCCTATCAACCGGCCTTCAATGAGGAGAGTGGTGAAGATGTTGCAAGAGGTGGGCACGGAGAACCTAACGAAACCTGCCAAGAAAGATGGCAAGTTTTCCCCTTATTACTATGACGATGCCTCAGATCATGGAAGTGTTGTTTAATGAAGACTTGCAAGGGCTGGGTTGAAGGAGGAGTTCGAAGCTTTTCTTTTACTAAAAGCCAACACTTCCCTCCATGTTTTCCGCGCATGCTTTGCTTTACAGAGTTGACTAAAGAAAAGAGATTAGAGAATAGGATTATTATTATTTTTTTCGGGTGGAAAATAGAGGCTTGAGGAGTTGATGTTTTACCTTATAAAGTATGTGCATATTAAGAAGCTTCCCTACCAAATTTAAATTGATGTTTGCATTACAAACTTGTATCCAGAAATGATATTTCCATCGATAATCAAGGTTTATATTTTTTTTAGTACATTTATTAGAAAGACTTTTAGCTGCCTCTGGTATGGGCCAGCAGAGTTTTAAAATTGCAATACCAATGAGACAATGACTTACAAATGCTGTTTTTATTTTTTTATTTTTGGTTCTAGGAAGGTGCTCTTGAAGCTTCGGGGAGAATCTGAAATGGGAATATGAGAAACCGCATAATGACATAAATACAGTACCATAATTAAGATAAATGAACATATTGGTCAAGCTATGCTTCCCCCCTTAATAGCTTCAAAATTCTATTAGCAACATAGTACATTGCAGTAATTTCAGTTCATTCTTGTTAGGTGACCTCCCTAAATGAGGAATCTATAGCCCGCTCATACTGAAATTGTTTTTAAATTTCTGTATGTTTCATCTTAAATGTTATGACTACTCAGCTTGAGAATTTACATCTCACGATGCCCTAAGAAATGTGCTGGTTACAGCTATAAGAGCTGAGTCAATGAGGTTGTTAGGCAGGCTTTTCTCTGGGCCCTCTCTTTAAATTGCTGGTTTCTTCCCTTTGGGCTCTCTTCTACTTTATTTGTTAGTGATTAATGGTGATGGGGTATTCATGTAACCATTTGGAAAATGACTTGGGCACTGTGGTAGTGGTATTTTTGCTGCATCTAGCAGTGGAGTTTTGCAAGTTCTTGCTATATCTAATAGTTCTTTATCATAAGTGAACCACTTTATTGTCTGAATAAAGGTAAACGAAATTATTATAAGATTGATGAAAGATTGAGCCTTTTAACCAATCCACTTTATGTTCTCTGTAGAGTAGCACCCAACAACGGAATGTGACAGTGTTATCTCTGATGGTTGTTTTAGTTTGTCTGTGTTTTGCTTTGTTATACGTGGCCTTTGTCTGATAACTTGTAGGTAAAATGTTCCGTAGTTCCTGCCAAAATGCATGATAATTCAAAGAGCTTTTTATGGATCTTGTTTAATGAATCCAGAAACGTTCCAATGATGCATGTGGTTTTGAACACCAGTGAGTGAGAGCCAAATGCCAAGACAATGTACGGTTCATAAATGCAGAGGTTGTAGGACCATTCGCAAACGTACCACTGCAATTTTGTACCCAAGATCTTTTACCAATGTTACTGATCCATACAATTCAAATTTCTGTCCAATAGTTTGGTCATTCTAATAAAATGCTAACAACAACCACCATTATGCTTTTTTACATATGGGCCTTCGAATGGTTATTCTTTCACTCTCAATCTCATTACTCATGCCAACGTTCATATCAATTGTGAAACTATCATTGCCTTTTCGTTTTTAATTTTTTTATTATACTTATTTATTTTCATATATATACTTTTATTTTTCTTTGCGGCGAATCGACCCATTCAACCTGGCATCCATAATATGTTGAATTTGTGATACATTAATTGAATCGTTCAACAACTTGTGATGAACTATTCATGCCAGTTGTGTTGATTCGAGCTAAAACTGAGTTTCAAATTGGAAGAAGGTAGTTAAAGTTGTGATCATTCTTGTGTGATGGCGCTATTTTACAACCTTCAGGTTTAAAATTAGGAGCAAGGTAGTTAAATTTATATGTTTTCAATTTAGAGTTGTTTAACTTGCTACTTTGATTTCAATTAATAGTGAATTGAGTCATTTTCAGTTGTTCGTTGAAAACATTTTTAATTAAGGTCATGGAAGAAATCTAACCATTCAATAGTCTGTTCTTCTTTTCTTTGGATAAGAAACGAATAGGTTTAGCTCTCTTCAAGAAAATTTACTCATCGTTATTGATCCTTTGTTCATTCAAATTTTAGTTAGGTGTTATAAATTTATAGGATTATATGATTAAATCAGTTTATTATAGCATTAAATGTATTACCTGTCCTAAATTGAAAACGTTTCCAATTTGATAACCTAGATTTAGTTTGATGAGTTGGTTTAATTTTAATAGATGGATGCCCAAAAAGAAAAGAAAAAAAAAACTACTATAAAAAAGCTATATAATTGTATCCGCCTAGAATACCTCAAATCTACAAATAAGAAACAATTTGCACAGGAATTACCACACTTGTACTTACAAAAGTTATGCAACTATTTGAAATTGACGTAGAAATTAGAAGCAGCCCTGAAATATGCATGCAACTTAATAATCCTTGAATGTTCTGTTTTGGAAGCACACCATGAAACACGCCTCCACGAAATCATGCTATATTAGAGCCTAGCGTTTCTGAATACAAAAATAACTAGAGAATAAAACTTTCAAAACTAATTATTCTAATTTATAAATATAAAAATTATTATAGATAAGAGGCATAAGCAAATATAATAAAAAATTGACGCTGGAGTTGGATAAAAAAAAAGTTGAAAAGTGATATAAAAAGGCCCATGAATAAAAGTATATATATTCCGTGTGGTCGGTCCATCAATAAAATGAACTTTAAGATATAAAATGGAGATGCAGGGGATCGAACCCTGTACCTCTCGCATGCAAAGCGAGCGCTCTACCATTTGAGCTACATCCCCATTTGAACAGGTAAGGAGCTTCAAACAATTTATTGAATCAATTATTGGGTCTGTCAAGCCATAGAAACAAACTAGGCCCATGAAGATCATGAGCAAATAATGGCCCCCAATGTGGGCTCGGCTTCTTTTCTCTTATATCCTTGAATTTTTTCAATTTCCTTATGGTATTTTTGTATGAAGAATTTAAAAAAATTTAAATTTTTGATATTTAAATTATTTTGATTTCAACTTTCATCATTTTTAAAATATTATATTTAGTTAAATCAATTTAAATTTTTAAAATTTTAAATTGTTAATTGGAATATGATAGTTTGGTTTTATTATAATAAAATTGATTTAAAAAAATTATATATTAATATTTTTAAATTAATTTTATAAAAATAAATATTAATCAATTTTTAAATATTTAATAATTTAAAAAATTAATATCAGATAATATTTGCTAATTTAACTTTTTATTGAATATTCAATAATTAAAAACATGAAGATAAAAGAGATAAGATAAAATATATAAGTGAAATGAGAAAAAAAAATGAGAAATTTCAAATCCATGCTTTTTAGGGAGAATTTGAAATTCTATTATTTTAAAAAAATTTACAAATGTTTAGATTTCAAATTTATTATAAATTTTTCATCCTAACAAAGTATTTTACTTCAAGAAATTTGAAATTTTAAAAATAAATAAATTAGTTTATTTAAATTTTCTATCTAAACACACTCTTATTAAATTGTATATTACCACTTGCTCTTATTTATTTTAAAAATTTACTAACCTACTTTTATTTCAACATTTTTAAATTTGGAATAAGTTTTTGGAAAACTCAATCCAAAATATTAAAAAAATATTCCTAATCCGAAATGTTAAACATATTATAGAACGTCTATTCCAAAATATTGAAAATGTGTTTTAGGAAACTTAATATGGAATGACAGTGTGTTTTGGATTGTGATTCAAGGAAAGTTTGAATTACGAGATTGTTCTTTGAAAAAAAGAGATGCTAGTAATACATTTTCTAACATATTATTTTTATCATTTTTTTAACTAATTAAAAATTATTAAAAAGAAACACAAAATGAGAGTGAGTGCGTTATTATTACTTCTCTTTCAAAAAAAAAAAAAAAATCCACTCTGAAGAACTTTTTTAACTTTTAAGATTAAGTGTTCCGAAATACCACATTTTTCATTCTAGATTAAGTGTATGTTTGGGATGACTATTTGAACCATTCAATCAAAAGTTATAAAAGTTTGTTTTATATTTTTGTACATGAAAAAGTGGGATTTTCTGTTTGCATTTACACAAACAGGTTCCTAAACATAACGTAAATATTTCATAACACCCTTTTTTATATTTCAAAATGGGTGTTTATAAGACAATTAACTTACCAATTAAGTGTATACTTTTAACATTTCGAATTGAGTGTTTCAAAACACATTTTTAATATTTCGGACCGGAAAAAATTGATGGGTAATTTAGTAACTTTGAGAATATGATAGGTAATGGCTGTAACAAGACCAGGAAAAAAAGAAAAAGAAAAAAAGGTGAACAACGCAGTTGGACCATAACATAACTAATGTATTTAGCAACACAACTGTTTCAGTTCAACTCTCATCAAATCAAAATAATTTGGAGTCCGCATGTACAAAAAAATTCGATCCATATTAAAACATTTGTTCTATTTTGTAAAAAAAATTCATACTAATCTGTGTTACAAAATTAGTTCGATTATTTGATCAATTTTTATAAAATGAATCAATTTCATTTGTTTATTTCTTTTTAAAATAATCAATCTATATAGATAAAAAATGAATAACCACACTAATTCAATCTAGTTTCAAAAGAGTGAAACTATCTTTTGGGAAAATTTAATGTTTCCATGCAAAGTTCTGGTTTGTTTCAAGCACTAGATTTTGGGGGCGGTGGGTATTGATAAAAAAAGAAACCAAATAAAAATCTACAATTATAGTGTGTTTGGTAAAACCATCTTTACTAAATTTTAGCTTTTTTTTAATAAGAAAAAATCTATTTATAAATAAGATACATTATTATTTAGGAATGTTGCTGAAATTTAAAAACAGATTTTTTTTTTTCTGTTAATAAAAATCTGCTTTTCAACATCTATAACTTGGAGCTGTTTCAATTAAATAAAAGAAAAAAAAAAACTTTGAGCTGTTAGATGATTCATTAACAGCTTATTTCTTTTTTAACATTGCAATTTCCAAATTTACTAAAAAAAACAATTTTTTTATCCAAACAAAATTAATTATCTAAAAGTCATTTTTTTTAACAAATTTATTATAAAAAAATGTCAATTTTAATTATAATCAATTATAATTAATTGATTATTTCAATAATTAATTATCAAAATAATTTAATTTTTACGGCTATCTCAAACATAGTCTTAATAAGAAACTAAATAATAATCCATCTTCTATTCCTTATTGCTGTTGTTGTTATTAATTTATTTCTATTTTATAATTAGAATACTTGGAGAGTACTGTAATA